GGATGACTTTGGTCAGTTCATCCAAGAATACTTGCGCCTTTTCCTCCTCTTCGAACATGAGAACGATGTCGTCTGCATATTCCAGATCAACAAGGCTTTCTTCACTGGCTATTTGAACACCAGGGTTTTGAAGACCCTCCAGCGACCTGATGCTAGCCTACCACAGGTGCCTGCACTTCCGGACACTCAATCAAACAATCTGAAAGAAAGAACGTTACGACACTGATTGGCCACTACTTTTTGCAACGTCTCTAGACAAGCGCCGATAGAAGTCACGGGGATCAGATCTTAAAAGACGGGTGGCGCTAACCAAACCCCTTTACAGGCTGTCCACCTCGCAGTTGGTGTCACTCAGAAAAAGAATTGAGAATACACGTCGTGATAGATGATGATTTGATAAGTGCAACACATGACCGAGCCACAAGAGCTGATGGTTATGAATGTTTCCTGCGACTGAAGTACTCATTGCACAGTCGGAAGCCCTTGTCGTACTACCCCTTTACGAAGTGGTCGATACAGCTTGATGCCAGCAGCATTCCTGAGACACGCCCGCAGAGGTCATGTCTCACAACCATACGATAACAATGCCCTTACTGCTGCCTAAGACATGCGACCCTTGAGACACTGATAAGCCGTTATGGCACCCAAAGGACGCAAATTCGAACCTTCAAGGTCTGCACACTCAATCCATCAGACACACTTTCGTCAGAGTTAATACAACTACTGAACCTAAGAGCCTCCAGTGTCTTCCAATAGATTTCAGGGGACATGCTCAAATCTGTAGACTCTGAAGCAGGAATAGGTACTTTGAAGGTATATTGCAAAAGACGGTATGCCGGAGGTCAGTTTATTCAACGGTGCCTGTGTTTTATCCTCGACTCCAAAGACTAGGATTATGTCATTTGAACAGTCAAAACGGGCAAGGTTCTCGCCAGCAGCGCGCTTTGAACACCGGGGTTTGAAGATCTTCCACCGTTCACCTCATTATTTCATCGGTGACAAGCTCTCAGCTCTCAGAAAACTTTGAATACACCCTCACCCAGTCGGAAGTATGTGAATATACTCGCGTAATACTGGGGCATTTTCTGTTGATCGAACGGAATTAGAAGCAGAGCTTTTGACAGAGTCGAACGCACCTATGAAGCTAAAGGAAACAAAGATTATGGGTCGTCCGCACACACGACATATCTCTAACACCTGACGGTATGTGAAGATGCGGCCCATTTAACCTCTGCTCGATTGGTTCCCGATAGTTAAGGCTTCGTGTGTCACTCTCACGACGGCGAGGGATCGAGGACACCAGAAGCCTTGTTACGACGGGAGTCAAACTCATACCCCTGTGGGTTGTACGTTCACTGAAGATAGGCACTATTATCAACTGATCCCGGTTGTCCGGGAGGTCTGTTTCCCACAGGCCTCGAGATAGGTCAGAATTGAAGACGCCGGCTTACGGCCCGGAAGTCCTAACTTCAGCATCTAGACTTCTCCGGTCTATACTTGGGGAACCTGGAATTATCCCAGTCCTCATGCCTCCATCCGTTGACATGGCAACTAAGCACCAAAAGGGTGCTACAGCTGAATGATTTGATTTTTTGCTTCTACAGATAGACGCAAACAGGTCGGACAAGTACTGGGTGAAGAATTCATTGCCGTTCTTGAACAGAGCAAGAGGAAGATCGCCCAAACCAGGAGCATAATGAATTGAGTAGAGGTATACACATTGAACATTTCTGAGACTGAAAGAGGTTCCATACCCAGCTCGCTGTTTCTGCCAAAAGTTGACAACCCGGAAAGGAGCAGCTGGTAGCCGAATCAACTGTTGCACGGAGTTTCTTCCAAGCGGTCCACACGTCTTTCTTTGCTAGATATCAGAGAACCACTTCAGTCCTTAAAGTTTTCATTGATAGGAGGCTTCCGAGTACCTACCGAAAAAATTGAACACGACAACGTGCGAGAATTTCAAGTGCTTTCTGCTTCTTCCGTCTCTTCAACAAGCTTCATGGATACTGCTCTGACTAGTGTCGATCGATGTGCAAATTTGCACTGTCGTTGCGGGCAGAAGGAATCGGTCTCCTGGCCTCTAGCAATACTACAGTCTTATCAGAGGTCCAACGTTTGGAAGGGGTTGGCTGGTTTGTACCGCAAGTAGAAGCTCAGATGTCAAGTAGAGTTTTGGATATCCCTTTCCAGTGATCATGGAATTCGACATCAGACCGGCACGCAGGTGTTGGAGGAGCAAGTCCGGCCAAGCACGATGTGAGTGTTTTTCGGAAACCTAAAAATAGCAGCCAAAGGCGGCAAAGGACAGGCGCATGATCCGAGTTCACAGGTCTTCCGGAAGGAGCAGCAGACAGTGATCGATCCTGGTTACTGATGACCAATGGCAATAAGATTTATTCGGAGTTTGGGCTGGTACGTCGGTCGGCGTCACGTGACCTATTGACTTCCGCAGTTCCGGAAGTTGGTACCGCAAAAGAATTGCATCTGAACAGCACAAATAGGTAGTAGACACTTTCAGCGTATTGCGACGTATCGTGTGACCACCCAACTGAGTATCGGCAGCGACAAGCCTATCTACCTCCGCGTCTATGCAACCAGCGACTACAAGATCTGAGCTTTCAGCCCGTTTTAAAAGAACATCTAGAGCGCCATGAAAACTGTCTTTGGCAGATTCGGAACCACGGTACTTTCAGGGAGAAGTAGATATATTAAGGAGCGGTGTATCTCTCCTGTGGAGATTCTTTCATTGACGTTGCAAGACAAACTACACAACAGAAACGACTAACCGATATCCAGTCAAATAGACGCTTCAGCTCAGTGGCTCAACACAATAGCCATCCTGTGCAGAGGGGGGACAGAACAACCTAACTCGAGAGCGGAATGAAGAAAGCATAGGACACTAACTCCTAGTGCTAACGCGCACAACAGGCATCTTGAACAGCACCAGACCTTTGAGTTTTAAATGTTTGGGTCGTATCGGATAATGCGCCGATAATCATGACCAATCGTTGAACCATTGGAGTGTGAGGTGTTTTTGACCGTTTTTCCAACTCATCCTTCCTCTGGGAGGTGACCCCTCCGCTTCGATAAATATAGAGACGCTGGTCACCTGAGGGAAAAACTTACTGTTCGCACAAATCTGTTGCAGTGAATGATATGGCTCTACCAGCCGGTCGCTGCATAACAGTTCCTCGAGGCACAACGACTCGCTGGTCCTCGGACTGCTCCCTGTTGGCCTTTGTGAGTATAGGAAACATGATATATACACTCTTCGTCTAATTGTAAACGACTGTGCAAGGCTCACTTCTATATTGATCCGGACGATAAACTTGTCGATCAAGTTTGTGCTTCACTGACTTTCAAGGTAACTCCTCAGTTCAGTGTGTTGTCCTCAAAAACATCAACATAATCAGAGACGTTCTCGCACGTTCTGCATGAATTCTTCACCAGTCGCAGTCGATGTATCTTCCAATTCACAGATACGTCAGACGAATCCAAGAAAGGACGTGAAGAACTACCTTCGAGACCTGAAAAACCCGGCCTTGTGACAAACTGTATTCCCTTGAATTATCGGGTGTGTTAGACTGTAGGTGTTTTATTTCCCACCTGAATGTATTCGAAATTTATCCTCCTACGGAAGAAGATCCTAGTTTCGTCGCGGTAAAACATTTTGAATGCATACCAACTCCGATCAGAATCGTCCATATCCAACAAATAGAAATAAAAATAAAATAAAATAAACGCTCAGCTGCAGCACCCTTCCCGTGCCTAGCTGCCATGCCACCTGAAGGAAGCACGAGGGCTGGGATACTGCCAGGCTGCCCATACCTAGACAAGGGAAATCGAAAGCCAGAGGTCGGGTTCGAACCATAGGCCTTCCGGACAGCGCTGTAACCACTGAGCCATCCAACTGATAGATTGATGAAACAATCGCATATGCGGGACACGGACAGTAATTGCGTAAAACTAGTTGGTTGATATTCCATCAAACTGGCCGCTGAGTGAGTGAGATCGGATCGATGTTGAGCTCAATTTCAACGCTTCGCATCTTCAATAAACTGTCTTGTTGAATACTCAAGACAGTTAGTCAACGACAGTCATTACTGCTCGAGATAAAAATATAAACTTCGTTCAATTCAACAGTGAAATTTATGGCAACCAATTAACGGAGGACAAATGACCGGTTGGTCCTCGTAAACCCATCCAACTAATCAACACAGGTGCCACCAAATCGTTTTATTTAACATAGGTGAGGATTACGCAATGACCTTGCCCGCGAGGTACTGTGTGATCTTCCCAGCCAATCCAACTTACAGTGACACTGCCGTTTGAACATGTGATCTGAGGTGAAAGTCAAGCGAATGAACAAATATTAACCTGGAGACTGAGCGCGAATCAGTTTCATTGAATGTATCAACGATTGGAGGGTAGATGTAATGGTAGCGCTTGCCACGTTCCGCCGGCTAATAAGGTCCTATAAAAGATACAGACTCGAACAACACTTCTATTGAAGGCTCAGCTATTTATGTCCCACTTCAATTCGGACTTTATTCAGCTAAATTTCCGGGTAGGTGCACCTCTCTCCAACACATTGCACAGTGCCCCTCGTGTTTGCAACATAGGTAAACGTAGGTCCCCACGCCTAATTCCAATAGCAGAGTTTGAGTACTTAGTAATTAATAACCGGAGTGCTGATGGACGTGACATCCATGGACCTGTCTCAAGTTCTACTCTAAGCGACAGCAACAGTCCAACCAATTTTATCTAAAGGGGAAGCTCCACAAGAAGCTTGAAATCACTAGGGTTGGTTACTGATGTGGAAGTTAATAAAACCACTGGAACAAGCCAATGTTTAGTTCTATCAATTTACTCACCGCGTAGTAGCCAGCAACAGCCTTAACTTGGTCATAGTCGTTTGCTTTTGATAAAGCAGTCAAGCCTTCTGGATAGAGTTTACCACACTCTGGATACAGCTTGGACCTATCTTCGTTTGAAAGTTCCGTCCCAAACGAGTTGATGGTGATGATAAACGCTCTCCGGTCCGCTTCGAAGGCCAAGATCTCACACATAACCTCTGCCGTCTTCCCTCCAATAGCCTTGCAGAATGCATAGAAGTCTTCCAAGTAAGCCTTGAAAAATAGTTTTCAACAAAATGACGGAATTATACAACTCACCTTGTACAAGGTATTCCGGATGATCTCAATGTTCAATTCGTCCAAATCCTGCTCCGAAATGCAGTTGATGAAATACGGAGCTGGTGGGAGAGTAGTTTAAATTAACCACACATCTCCTAAAAACATACCTAGAGGCGTATCGACCAACACTGCATTATAAAGTTCGGCGGGGTTAGATGCTATATGGAGCGCTTCCATTTCGAGGAATGTCCCCAAAGGATGACATTTTGTCATCAACTCTGGTATTGGTCGGGCGTGAAGAGTGCCAGTTATAAGTAAGACAATGTTATCAATCATGTAACCATAAGTTATATAGTCCAAAAAGGTAGACAGCGGTTCCACAGCCTGATGCCGAAGATGACGAAATTCACAAACGAATTTGTCGCGGATCTTCTCCTCTATGGTACTCACGGCCAATGGACCAGCTTCGTTTGCCAAGAAGTCACCATAATCGGTATCTTGAAGATGAAGCTTTAAATCTGACGGGGACGGGGGAGTTTAAGTGAGTGGAAGGAAACATACCGTCAAGTGTTTCACACTGAACAAGCACGTGATAGTCGGACTGTTTCAGTAAGCCGCTTTTGATGCCACGGGCCAGGCCCTCCAAGTAGCCATTGTCGGCATTGAAGTTCAACATCGAAACGGATGATACGCCAACCATGGTGCTTGCAGTGATGCACTGGCTGAAAGAGTAAGTGTGATCTCAGGAACGGCTCCCTGCTAAATATTACGATAAGTCCGAACAGCGTAATGGGCGAGATGAAATTTGGGGGAACACGCAAATACTCATCACGCGTTTGTGAAGAGAGACGTGACTATGCTATGCACGAGGGCTGGGATAAACCAGGTTGCCCAGGCCTAGACATGAGCAGTCGAGATGCTGAAGTTGGATTCGAAAAATGGAACTTTTGCGCTCAGAATGGCGAGACATACTGTAGGCGCCTGGACCATTTTTACGGGTCATCTTTAATGCAGCGAGATAGCATGAACACAATGCTATTCTAGAGTAACTCCATATTGACTGAGCCATCGAGATCAATAAGTTTCAGGAAGGAGATATCCGGAATCGGTCAAACGTCCGTCAGTTTCGAGGTCCAGTTACTTCGATGCTTAAAGCGCAAACTGACTAACAAGAAATCCCATGGTTCGAAACTAACAAATACGTATTGATTGCTCGTCTCTAGGCTTGAGCAATCTGGCCGTATCTCAGACGCCGTCATCTCCAGTATCATCGACAGCATGGAATCAGCGTTCAAAACCAATGTTCACTGCCGTACAACCATGATTTATTTGAAAGCCTAACTGTGAAGAAATGGATAAAGTTGGGTGATGAAGGAACTTAGTGCTAGCTTACTATAATCATTCCGAGGTGCCTAAACATCATAATACTCATTCAGGCAATCTGGATAGAAACTGACAACAACAACAACAACAACATCAGTGACGCCACTTGGCAGCCATATCTTCCAGCGTCCCCAACCAGGCACAATGGAGATTTCGCGGTCCCCATCCTGAAAGGCAAGTGGCACTAACAGCACCCACACTTTTCGTAATCTCTTTCATACCACTTTGTCAGGTCAAGGGCTGGACACCTGTCTGCTTCCGCCACTCTGATTTGGGCATAGAAAACAGCACTCTCTTCGGCAGACCAGCTTCCAGTGCTGGAAACATTGTTCAATGGACGTACCCGTTGCACAACCAAAAACTCGCTTCCTACTTGCCTCGTTACGGATACGCCGACACCGACCCACACGAGCTATGGTCCTGATCGAGCGATTGTCAAACACCGCTCTTGGAACAGGCCAAATCTCACAGCCATACAACGAAACAGCCCGCACTGTAGCTTGATACACACGTCNCTCTTCGAACAGGCCAAATCTCACAGCCATACAACGAAACAGCCCGCACTGTAGCTTGATACACACGTCCCTTTAGATTCAGGGATACACCACTTTGACGCCATAGGTGTCTCAAATTAGCAAACGCGGCCCGAGCATTGCAGATTCGTGCATTGGCCTCATCTGTCACAGTACATTCAGAACAAATATAATTTTCAAGATAGAACTTCCAAGGCCCCTCCCTGGATTGTAAGTGGCGTGTTCAGTGACTGCATGTCAAGAATCATGACTTTACACTTTGTGGGCCCAAAGTGCACACTAAAGGAAGGAATAACTTTGGTCAGTTCACGCAAAAAACGCCAATTTTGTGAAAAAAAATTAATTGGAAAAATGAAGCAGAGAGGGGCCTAGGGCTAGCTTACAACAAACGTCAAGCAATCTGAATAACAACTGACAGCATGGACGCCACCGACATCGGCTAGCGCAATGTCGTTTAGTGTCTCAAGCACAGGGAGCCATTCGGATTACATTCTGAAAGACACTGCACCCAAACATTCCGTAACATCCCTTATTCCCTTCTGACATGTCAATTTCAATCGATCTTCAGATTCCCATCACTCCGAATCGGGCAAGGAAAGCAGCGTTTTTTTTCAGCGGGCCGCAACTCGTAATAGATGGTTCAGCTAAATTAGTCTGCCGTGCTAGATGCATTCGTTAAATGAAGTACCGTCTGTTTCATCCAAAACTCATCCCCTGATCCATTGGTTCCAGCTAACTCCAACTGTATCCTGACGGAATGATGGTCAAAGACCTGAAAAGTCTCTGATCTACGGGCAAAATGGCGAAGTCTCGCATCCATACAACAATACGGAATTGTGTAGTCTGATACACGCATCCTTTTATGCCCAGTGAGATGTCTTTTTGATATCACATGTGGCGCAAACTGGGAAACAATGACAGTCTTTGAGATTCGTGAGTTGACTTCGTACGTCACACTGTCATCAGAGCTAATGCAACTTCCGTGATAAGCACAGTGCTCTACAGCTTTCACTTATTCCTTGGATTCCTAGGAGCATGTCCAAAAATTATACATCCTCCACTATAACGCTGCACTGAGGGTGCGAAGCACATGCCGGAGGCCTGGACTAGCTAGGTCAGCTTTCCAAGCAGTGCTTGCGCTTCCTCCCCTCTTCTATCCGCGCATTCCGGATTAACAAGGTTCTTGCTTGGAGGGATTTGAAGATCGGGTTTTGGAGACCTTCCAGAGTTTACCTCAGTACCTCACCAATGCCGAAAGAAAACAAATGAGGGACACCAGCGTTTGCAGGAAAACTTATGGGGAGCTCTTACACATAAATTCTCACGCGCCCACAAGTGTGTGAATGCAAACAGCGCGGGGTGTTCGCTCACAGACACTGAGTATGTGGACGACACTGTTCCTCTTTCTTCAGATCCTTTGAATATGCGAATCATTTTAAGTAACCAAGATAATTCTGTCGCACGGTTTGGTAAACACTTCACACCAGCAGAGTGTGAAGCACTGCTACAAGATTGGGCAAGGTGTAACCAAAACTTCATGCTTGCAGATCAGTCAATTGATGTGCTAGATATGTTTGCTTATTTGGGCAGTTGTACGGGTTCCAGCAGACTGATGAGAGACAAGAATGCTCCTCGCATCGAGAGCCAAGGTCGCTTTTGCTAGCCTTCTGTGAACCCAGCGTGGTGATAGTTAGTATATCAAGGGAAGAGTATACAAACCTGCTGCGGTGGGATCCCCACTGTTTTATAGATCAAAGTAGTAGCCCCTACGTGCAGGGGACTACGAAAGCCGTCAGTGTTTGACCATCGGTATCCAAGGCACTGGCTAGTCTGTTAGGAACATTGGATTGGCAATACTGAAATACACCAAAAACCTTTGAGAAAAAAGGACTCTCACGCGATGGATGAGCTACCCACACTACATAGGCTACGATGGTTAAAATATGTACTGCGCATGCCAGAAGATTGTCAGTCTTGTGAAGCTCTTTTCGCCCCGTCTGTTGTTGAGTGAAAGCGACCGAGAAGTGAAAAGTCTATGACCTGATGATAAACTACGAAACCAATAACCAGTGAACTCAGTCGGGCTGACAACCACCGCCTCACTAGATACGCAGCCCGGGACTCAAATAATCAGTCACCGATGACACTGGAAGACGACGCAGTCAGTGGTATTCATGCACCGGAGCTATCGCCTTTAGTGTGTAGCTGCCCACTAAGAAAAAATCGTTCAGCTGTAGTACCGTTTAGGTGTTCAGCTATCATGCCAACGGCAGGGAGAACGACGGCTGGGATATTGTCAGGCTGTCGAAGCCTAGACAAGAGTAGTCGAGATACTGAGGTTGGATTCGAATCGAGGACCTTCCGTTCCGTAAGCTGGCGCCTTGACTACTGAGCTATCTTGAGCCGGCCAACTGAGAGCAATGTACAGTGCGTAATAACTGACCATGCCATCACTTCCCATGACTGACCGTATTTCTAACAGTCCACCGATTTCCATTAACATAACTAGAGTAGTTGAAACCAACGTAACCTTAGTACAAGGTTTACGGCTGATAAAGTGACTTAATAGCTGTTCGGAAAACTGTCGGTCCACCTAAACACAGAATTGACGGTTTCACATGAAGGCCGTTTGTTATAACAAAGACAGTTGGTCAATGATTTCATACAACGCATATACGGAGCCTGCGGCTTGAGAACCACGTAGGGATGACAAAAATGCAGATAATTCAGACAAAAGCCTATTGAAACCATCAGATATGAAAAAGGAGTACTGGAAGGGAAAACATAATCAGTTGCCATTGGGTAGTTTAGCTTAGTTTAACTCTGGTTTTGGACAAGAGAACATCACACACGAATAACAATGCAAATGTTCGCAGATTCGGCTCGGTAGGCTGTCGATTCTGGTCGTCGATTCGGGGTGCGTTTCTGAGAAGGAGAAGCGGGTTCTTGTGATGGTGGGTCTAAACAAGGTTAGTTGCACCCATAAGTGTTAAAATGATTAGGAACCAAGATGGTCTATGGGAAGGCTGGATAGTGAAGCACTTGTGGAGGGCTAAGCGATAAATCTAGGGAGAGAGCGGTACAAGTCGCGCTTGAGGGGTGACGATTAGTCTTGTATGGGTGTTCATTCTGTAGTAGAACAAATGTGAAGGTCACATTTTGGTCAGCTGGTTGAGTCGGAAACTGTATCCCGAAAGTTGGTGTTGTGGGAGAGAGTGAAAAGTTGACCGTGAATCCTAGAGTGAGGTTGTATGTGTACATGAAGCACTCTGGAAGTCTGCTGCGGTATTCCAGGGAGAATTAGCCGCATGAATTGTCTGGGGTAGTGGAACTTCCGGAGATAATTTCCGGCGGCTATTTGCCGAAACTTTCAAGCGTACCAAATTCGCGTTTCAACCAAGGGAGTCACACAGTTCTCCGGCGTTTTAACAGAGGGCACAGCAGTGTTCTGGACAGCTCTAAGATGGGGAAAGCTCTGCAGAAGAGATGAAAAATCTGGTTGTCTTCTTGGAGAAGCGAGTGCTCGAGATAGATCAGTTGTTAAGGCGCCAGCTTACGGAACGGAAGGTTCGCGGTTCAAATCCAACCTCCGCATCTCAACTGCTCCTGTCTTGGCATAGCGTCCTGGCAAAAAAATCGTTCAGTTGTAGCACCCTTTCGGCGCCTAACTGCCATGCCACCCGAAGGTTGCACGAGGGCTGGGATAATGCCAGGTTGTCCAAGCCTAGACAGGGGAAGTCGAGTGGCAGAGGTCGGGTTCGAAACACAGACTTCCGGTCAGTGAATTCGCGCTCTAACCACTTGTGCCATCTCGCTCAGTATCCCAGCCTTCGTGCCTCCTTCCGTTGGCATGGCGGCTAGGTACCAGAAGAATATTACAGGTGAACGACTTTTTGGGGAAGTGGAGGAAAATTAGAAGGTACAAGGTAGGTAATCTAAATTCCAGAGTATTCGTGTTGACTAACCATGAAGATGGCGACGGCATCCTTTCCTATAGATAGTGGAAAAGTGCGGGGATTTAATTCCGGTAGACATATGGAGTAGGGTAATGTAGGCAAAGACGGTTATGGTCCAGAATAATCATCGTTCGGGGCGAGATGGCCCAAGTGGTTAGAGCGCGAATTTGCTGACCGGGAGGTCCATGGTTCGAACCCGACCTCCACCTCTCGATTTCCCGTCTAGGCTTGGGCAACCTGGCAGTATCCCAACCCTCGTGCAACCTTCGAGTGGCATGGCAGTTAGGCACCGAAAGGGTGCTACAGACTAACAATTTTCATTTCCATGGTCCAGAATGCTCACCATATTAATGACCTGCTGCAAAATAGGAGGATCGCTGTGTAATGTGCCGACAGAAATCAAAGTGCTCGCCATCGCTGATTACAATCCCTTTTGTCTACTTTCAGATACGGCGGTGGTAACGAAGGTAGAAGACATTCGTGTATACCATACAAAAGGCCATAAAGCCCCTTTGTACGTTTATGTGTTTGTACTCTGCATTCTGCTGCTGTCAGCCCCGAACCCAACGTGTTCCGATGCTCGGACAATAAACTGATTAACCTGTTCTTGTGCTTCTGTGTGGATAGTTGATGAGAGCTACCAACTTACCGATACATTTATCTAACGTATCGCATCCCCCTTCTTCAGCTTCATCAGGCTGCTACCACAAAACACCGACAGTGTACACAC